TTAGGACATCCTTCGTGAAATGGAGAAGGTGGAAGGGTTGAGAAAAAAGCTAGCATGATCAAGGGAAAGAGAGGCACTGAGGAGCGAGACTGCGACTTTTCCTACACTATCCTCATCAAAAAGGGAAAGATCAGCAATCCCTCTGTCAATTTATACTCTATTGGGCTGCCTAGTAGCGACACTCAGAGTGATATTACGGCCTTACCCACCATGGAAGCTGCTAATGAGATGATGGTAGAGAGCCTTATCACAACATCCAATGTCCTTTCCTCTTTGGAAAAGGAGGAGGATGATGCTGCTAACTTTCCAAACAACTAGGATTCTGGACGTGCTAAGGACAAGGAACCGAGGAAATTTCATTTGTTCTTCAACGAATCAAGAAGTAATTAGTCCCTTAAGATTTTCGATTTGTCTTATTCGGATCTCCGTCAAGGGAAAATCTTGAGTTTCTACAAACATTCTGCTATATCATGGATGACTGTACGAGTGAAGGAAAAGACCACCTATGACGGGCTTTCAGAATCCCATAAGGAAAAGGAATCCAATGTTCCTGAAACCTTACTCGCGCACACTAGGATGGTGGGTCCAAAAAAGAGGTGTCGCAATAGAAAGGGCCAAAAGGAAAAGGCCAAGCGAACCCTGGACTCCGCCGTGGTCAGCCACGTTGTTAGACTTCCCAAGTCCAACAGCGCTGCCTTGGAGAAGTTAGATGATCATTTATCTACTAGCCTACACTACTACAAAAATGACCTAAGGTAACACCACATGGTATCACTTTGAAGGTTAGAAAATTAACTAAATTATAAGTAACACTATTGTAAAACTTTGACATTATGTAACACTTGATATTAAGTAGCACTTTATTGTAAGGAAGCCTCAACATGATTTCTGGCCCTTCTAGATCTTGACAATGATGTCGTAAATTTTTTCTGCTTGATTATGAGCATATAATTATGTATCTTTTTGTACGATAATTTTATCTGTAGTACAGCTTACAAGTTAGTCGAGAGTAAATCTATGTTTCTAATCGATACTTTATAACAATTATAGAGACAATTGTCTGATTTTCTGGTTTATTATCCAAATTTTCTGAGGACAACCATCATCAACTTATACTTCGTATATCTGTAACTAGTAGACTTAAATATAGTTGGGGTGAGGAAGGACCTAAAATGAAAGACATGTTGGCTCCTTCTGAACCTTGGTCTCATCAGCTATGAAGTTCTTACTCGACCATGGTGTCTTTAGCACATGGGTTGAGGCCTTATGAAATTCTCGAGCCTCTGACGTGATAGTTCTTTTTTAATGTCGTCTAACATAATCTTTTTGGCCTCAAGTAGAAGAGCTTTTCCAGTTAGCCCCTGTGAGATCTTCTTGGTGGTTTTTTACAACATTTTTTTTAAAAGATGGTTTTTTTTGCAAAAACAAGGATTTAGGTGATTATGACAAAATTTCCTTTTCTTTTTTTAAAGGTAAAATATTGTTATATTCATGTATATTTATAATTTAAACTTTTTATAAATTTTAGTTAATATATACTCCCTCCGTTATTAAATACTTGCTTAATTTCTCCATGCGCGGAGTTTTAGAGAAAAATTGGAGAAAATAATAAAATATAGAGGTAGTGGGGTTAATGAAAAATAAAAAGTTGTAAAAAGAAAAAGTAGTTGAGAGAATTGGAGGGAAAAGAATATAAAATTAATAAAATCTAATATTATATAAATAAAGTAGGCATTTTTCGAGAGCATTCGGCGCACCACATAAGCAAAGGTATTATTTCGACCAATTAAAAATTAGATTTGTATTTTATTTTAGAATTAATAAATTCACTCGCCACCTAAGAAAAAGTGACGAATGAGATTTAAGAATTTTGCCACGTAGTTAAAACAACAAATAGTGATTTATTAGAATTTAATTTATTTAAAAAACTAAAAATTATTTTAACAAAATCATCTTTAGATATAGGATTTATATATCTAAGATAAATCTTAATAGTGTTTATGATAAGAAATAAAAATTAATCCTTAATAATTAATAAATTAAAATTTGTGATGCATACCATTAAAAATTGACGCATCCTACAACACCAACAAAATTTTGTATCAATACAAATCCAAATCATGCGAATTTTGTGTCAGTTTTAGTCATCAATGGCTGAGTAATTCTTAGCTTAATTTTTAAAATCCATATTTAAATGTATATTTGTGATTATTGCTTACATTGTGTTTAATTGGAATACTTAACGATTGTATATTTATGTTTTGTCTACTGAAATTTGTTTTTACACGCAGATCTGATTTAATCAGAGAATTAGATTCGAGCAAAAATGATTGGAAAATCAAAGTACGAGTTTCTCGCCTAATGGTCCTATTGGATGAGAAGGTATTATACCTTTATAAATTGTTTACATTTATTAAATTTTTTTATAAACCTTTGTAGTTTATATTAATTAATTTTATGATTAGAACAAATTTTTTGTGATTTAAGTAGATTAATCAAGTCATCAAATTAAATTAATTTTGATTACGTTCATACTTCAACTAAAGCCAAACTTTGTACAATTCGTCCATAATTAATTGAAAGAAAAGTTTACTCAATTAAATACTTTTCATTCGTTACAAAATACTATTGTTCGGGCGATTAAAGACGATGAAAAAATTCCAATGCATAGACTTGATTTTGTACAATTACAATTTTTAGATCAGTTTCACAACAATTTTTCACTTCCTGGTAAATATATTGATTTATTTTATAAGACTATAACGGTTAATTTTATATAATTTTTTTTTTGCTAACATGTTTTATTTATCCACTTTTATTAGATGGAAGAGATATGGGTGTGAACGAAGTAGGTGATTCTATTGAAATAGGAGATAAATAGTATACATGTTTTTATTATTTTTTTTTATTTCTTTTTTTTAAAAAACAACTAATAATGATTTAGGATTTAAATTATTCAAAAAATAAAAAAAATTATCTTTTCACATTAAAGATTTTAACCTAATATGTAATCGATAATATATCATATTTACAATTTTTTTTTTTGAAAGATATCATATTTACAATTTATTTCTATTATTAAATTCAGTTGTCATATAACTAAGCACAACGAATAAAATACAAAACAACAATATATAAAGTTGCATAATAAATTACATTAAAAAAAATTATACTTTTGTAATAGGCAATAACTTTTTAATTAATTATTATGTGTTTTTTTCGTCTAAAATTATTAAATAGTAAAATAAATCAAATAATTATATATATATCATATTTACAAATTATTTATATTTAACAAATTCATTATAAATTATAATAATAAAAAAATAAATATTAAACTTTTGTAATTTTGTCTTAAATTATTAAATACAATACAAATAATTAAAAATCTTAGATGAAAAAAGCGCATCGCACGGGCTTCCATCTAGTATTATTTATGTTAGGTCCACTAGTTGAGAGAAATGAATTACTTATTGTAAAAGTTTTCCAAATAAGGAAATAGAGCAAGTATTTAAAAACGGCCGGAAATAAAAAGTCGAGCAACTATTAAAAAACGGGAAAAGTAATGGAAAATATTGATAGTCAAAAGTATATCTTCAAGATCGTACTAAAAAAATAGGCACACATGGGACGAAACCACAGGAGTACTCCGTAGTTTATAGATAACAACTAAAATTCCATAAACAAGAACATGAAGTTTTACAAAAAGATAATAATATTAATACAAAATTTATAGTGAATGGCATCTCAACAATAATCAAGATGATCCTATAGCTAATAACCCTCATATAGTCATATATGCAATGGTTTTGTGGTATTGTCCCTCTAAAATTATTGCTTTTAAATATGTCCCCAAAATGAAGTTCTATACAGAAGCAGGGCTTAAAGTATAGCTCATTGTCTCACTGCAATGGGAAAGTTAAATGAGCAATGGTAATACCAACACCAACAGGTCCAGCACCAGAGTACACCACCACAGCATAACCATTCTCAACATGCGACAACAAGAGCCTTTTAGATTCATCACCATAGCAAACAGAGTTCATTCAAGAGTACTCGTACATGGGGGGGATGTATCAGGAGACCCTGACTTCAAAATTCTTTTTTAAAGGAAATTTGGCCAATACATGAGCAACATAGTTACCCTTCCAAGAACATGAGCAAAACATGGATTATGTTAAGTCAATGCCATCAACAAAGATCCCAAGTGAGGAACAATTCATACCACCGCCATATAGTAGTTAGTAGTCTTGTCACGCTTTTTATAATGCAGTTAAAGCGGTAAGAACCATTAAATTCAACACATTACCTTTCATGGAAAAAAACAAAGCAGTATTAGCAGTAGGAAAAGGCTCAAGTGTAAATCATAACTCTAAGGGACACCAGTTGAGTAAAACCAACAGTTCACAACAACTTAAATATAAATATCAAAATCATGGAATTAGGCTAAGATCAAATCAGATCATATACAAAAGCAAAAAAGTTCAAATCAAACAGATAAGAAAACATGTTTATTCCATATCACTATATCATATCACAATAAAAAAATAAGAATAAAAAAAAGTTCAGGCCGATTTAGAAATAATCAAATCAGAGAACTTGTTTTATAAATTAGTATTAATTATAATTTATTCATTTTGGACGGCTTTAATGAGAACATGAATCAATGCATCATCGGAATGGTACAATTGTAAGTATGATGCACATGTAACATGTTAAGGCATCTAGAGAGATGTAACATTTTTTATTTTGTTGTATATTCTTAGGGGTGTACACCGGTCCAAAACCGGACCGGACCTGAATTAGGGAATTACGAGGACCGGGGACCGGACCTAATTCAACAGATCCGATTCTGGGTCAGACCTGAAAAATCAGGTCCGGTCCAGGTTTGGACCTGAATAGGCCTGTTTTGTTATTTTTTCGTTTTTTTTTTTTTTTTTTTTTTTAATAAATAACCTGTTGGACCTACATATGGACCTGTTTTGTGATTTTTAGACCTGTTGCATAATTTAATAATTACATAAAATCCCAAATTATCAATCACAAAACTACATAATGTCTATAAAGTCCCAATTCCCAAACACCAAAAATACAAATGAGTCCACCGAAAATACAAATGAGTCCACGAAAACTCATAACATTACATAAAGTCCCTCAAGTTTCAAATACTAGAAATACATAAATTCTCCAAGGACAACTTGAATTTGGACGAGTTGTTTTCCCTTTGATTGCGTGATTCACACTAATGAGTCCACGAAAACAACTTCATCGTCTACATCGTTAGATTCACCACGTTGCACCTCTAAATAAAAAACAATATAGAATATATTAATAGTGATTAATAACAATGAATATAATCTCAGAGATTCAAAGGCTGTGATCCAGAATGAATATAATCTCAGGTCTTGGTTAGCCCCACACCCAATACTGAGATTCTGTGCATCAAGCACCCCATTTGGTTTGTCTGGAGCATTCATATTTCAGATTAATAAATTGAAAACTTAAAAAATCAACCAAAAAAATAGAGGGAAAATCAGATAGATGATCACATATTCACACCCAAGCTCTTGTTTTTTGTGAAGAAATGCACACCCTCAAAACAGAACAACACAATCACTGTTGCTCTTGAACATTAAAATTCATTGAAAACAGCAATTCCTAAAGCAACAAATAACCAGTTAATTAATTACTTCTACATTTAATTGAGTAATTAAACTACCATCATAAAAGCAAAACAAATCAAATCACTGCACAAATAGTACTCTAATTCTCTGAAGATATTTATACTTTTAGCAGGAATAAAAACAATCCCAGTCCCAGCACTAAATTTCGCATTTGGGTTATATCTCTGCAGTTTTTGTACACCCCTAATTATTAATATGCATTTCCTTTTAGAGGTGGATTTTAATTGAAATAGGTTCTTTATAAAAAGCAAAATCTATGTATGAAGTAGCATAGCCAACACAAGAAAAATACTTGTCATACAAGTTTTATTTTTTTTACACTTTTGTAATTTAAACACGAATGTACAAAGCTAAAAACAACACTAAATTGTTTTGTTAATAAGATTTTCAGTTAATTTCACATATTTGTAGGTTACAATAACAATACTCCCTTTGTTTTTGATAGATATAGCCATATTTCATTTTAAGATATTTTAATTTGATGTACCCATATCTTTATTCTATTTCTAATAAGCAAAAATATCTATCTTACTCCCTTAACCTTTAATATTTACCTAATTCCACCCACTCTTATGTTATTCCTTATTCCTTACACCAATCCGCCTTTTTACCCTCTCTCTTATTTATTTGAATAAGAGTAATAATAGTATTCCTATCAAAATAAATTAATAGTCATAATTTTAATTACTTTCTTAACTTGAAAAAAATCAGATTAGAGTAGATTTGAACAGATAAATTCAGACCAGATTTTAGGTGAGCTAAACATAGCCTTATAACATGGCAATGTAACTATATGACTATTTTAGATATAGACTACAGAGAACAAACTCAATGAAGGCAATTATTTTATACCTCCACGTGTTCAGTGCTTTTGTCTCGACATTGGTTAGGTTGGCGAAAATTGCGTGCCAAATTATCATAGAAATCTCTTTGCTGCTCCCCCACATAGAAATAAAAGAATATACAAGACATGTTAGACAGTCATTTTTTATAAAGTTTAAAACCCCAACGACGCAATTAAAACAATTATACCTTTTTGTTAAGAGAAGGAGCCAATCCCACCAATGCTTTTTCAAAATGACTATTATTTATTATCCAAGGAATGTCACCTGCACCCCTTTGCTTCAATAATAGCCTCTCCTCATTAGCAAACCTATTGGCATGGCGCATCTAGCAGTATTCCAAAAAAAAAAAAAAAAAAAAAAAAAAAAAAAGATACTTAGACTATATTGCTAATTGAAAGGAATATCAAGATTTTAATGAACATCCACTGAGGGATGTAGGAGTACCAGAATTGTGATAAAGACATAGCAAAGAAAAGAAACAGGGAATGGGTGAACAAACCAGGCGATCAAGGTCAGCGCCACTAAAATGATCACAAGCTGTTCTCTCTGCAATAGCAAGTAAATCCACATCGGTATCTATAGGTTTCTCTCTTGCAAGAGCTTTCAATATTAAGCCACGTTCCTGTGGACTAGGCAGAGGAATGTATACTAGGTTCTCGATTCTTCCAGACCTCAGTAAAGCAGGATCTATCAACTCAGGTCTAGAACATCCAGATAAAGACTGTCAAATAGGAGGATTTTGGCATTGATAAAACATATTATGAGCAATGATAAGTAATTAAAAAAATATTATACCGATTTGTAGCACCAATGACATAAACCCCCCGCCTTTCCTCTGCACCATCTAGCTCAATAAGAAGCTGCAATGACAATTCAAGATTTTAACATCTGAGTGCATCTTCCATGTGAAAAATAAAACAAAACTATACAGTGGTATAAAGTGAATAACCTGCTTACGTATCCTATCAGTAACCCCACTAGATTCTCCACAATTAGCAATCAAAGCATCCACCTGTGACAAGTTCAGCATTTTCAAATGTCATCTATTGAATTTGATTCCTGAATTTATCTTAGTCCTATTCTTGTTATGATAGTAGCAATACACTGATATAAAAGAAGAATGGGCAGATAAAAAGGAAGGATTATTACATCCTTGACATGGTGACAGCTTTAAGATCTTAATTTAAGTTTCCAATAAGTTTTTGAGATGAGAGTGCTTTAGTGACAGCATATATCTCCAACTCTAGGTAATAATGTGAGCTGGGAAAACACTTTGAGCTTTTGTTTGGCCGTCACTTAACAATTCAACAATCAGGAGATTAGCAGGGATGAATACATTGTGATGATCAAGAGGTGTTAACTATTGCTTTAATATCTCGGATTGGGCAAGCTGTCCACTAACAATCAATTATTAGAAATTTAGAATTATTCTACTATCAAAATGTATACACAGGAGATTAAAGAAAACACCCAATAAGATTAGATTTGATGATTGAGAGGTGTAAGATATTGCAAAAAACACAGCATTTCATGATGAGACCAAACAAATGGAAATAGATTACATGCCATTGGATAACAGATGGCAGTAACATCTCAAACAAGAAACGAATTTGTTTGCTAAGACTCTAGAGAAGCAGCAAATTCACAAAATTACAAGGAAAAGTGGAATTCCAAATCTGAATGCACCGAGAAAAGGAAGGGTGTGGAAAGTTAAATCATAGATACGTGCATTGTAAATTTTTTAGCATTAGAGGCTTTTACACCAATATGAGTGGAGCATATCAAAAGGAAGCAAGTATTCTGAGGTAATTGAAAAGGCTTTAAGCCTACAATCATCCCACTATTCATCTCAAAAAGGAACATACAATCAATTATATATCATTTTTCACATGTCTTCTCCATATAATGGGATTCACATGATTTAGTCACTAAATTGTTGTTGGGGCAAATTGAAATTTAAAATGGGTAATGTTATATGCAGCCCTCAAGGCATATATAAGCATCTAAAACATTATATAGATTGATACTCTGCATTGATTTAGGATTGCAAGACTTTCGCATAGGTTAGGGAAATTAATGTTTGGTTTAATATAATATTACCACTTCTGGCTTCGTATTTCCAGCCACACCAAACAACGTAGGTAGGAAAGAATAAATACGAACGTGTCACAGCACCACATCCAACCCCCCCCCCCACCCCCCCCCCCCCACCCCCCACCCCCCCCCCAAAAAAAAATAAAAAAAATAAAATAAACCCTTTGAAAAAAAAAGCAAATTTCATGAAGGAAAACAAGAAAAGCAATAGTGACCTAGATAAAGTCATTGCCTATTACACAACAATTTTTCTTTTCATATCCCATCATAATGCAAAGCCGAAAGCTTGATCAACCTCTCACCCCCCCCCCCCCTCCTCTTTCTCTCCTATCAAAAAAATACAATGTTCCAACTGTTTCATGAAGAAAAGCAATAGTGACCTCATCATGTAGATAAACCCATTTTCTGAAAAACAAAAACATGTAGATATACCCATTGCCTATTACACTACAATTTGCCTTTAAGATATCTCATCATAATGCTTGGCCGAAAGGTTGTTCAAATTTGCCTCTCTTGGCTATATTAAAACTTACAAGCCAACAAAGGAAACTAACAACGAGCAACAACAATGTGAACATTTAAAACAATAATTATAACTTCAAGAAAAAATATTCATACCTCATCAAAGAAGAGAATACATGGAGAACATTTCCTTGCACGATCAAAGATCTTGCGAATAGCCGATTCACTTTCACCAACATATTTGTCCATAAGTTCAGGACCCTGGTAAGGTTTTTTTAAAAAGCAGAACATTCAGTACTTCATAGCAAGGTGAGTATGCTTTAAAGGCCCAATCCCCAGAAAGCAAAGATGCAAACAGACAGGGGTGAGTGGGTGGGGGGTGATTTACAGCAGGGAACAGTAAAAATAGACCTTGATGTAAATGAAACTTGCACCAGCCTCATTAGCAACAGCCTTGGCAATCAATGTTTTACCACAGCCAGGGGGGCCATAAAGCAAGAATCCTGCTGTCAAAGCTTCTCCAAATCCCTGAATAATGTCAGCAGAATTAAGAGTCAATATACAAAAATCATCAGACATAAGATGCTGCTCATAAAAGCAGACATTAGAACCAGATCAACAGTCACACTGGCTTGAAAGTTGAAATGGTGTAAAAAAAATTCTAGCTGCAATGACTCATTATAAAGTCAGTTTAAAAAAAGACAAAATATCACAGGCAGCGGAAGGATTCCCAATGACTTCTATAGAAGTAGCAAAGCAAGTAGGCTTAAAAAAGCAGATAAACCTCTCTTAATTAAAAAGGACAGCAGCTTATCATGAAACACTCATCAACAAGAACCTACTAGTTGTACCGAAATACATGTGCTTTCCTCCATAATAAATTAATAAATAAATAAAGAGAAGGTATTGGGTGCAGACATCCGCACGCAAATTTGGAGCGGGAGGCTTGATTGATATATTTTACTTGTTGCCTGATATGTTTCATGTGTTGGCAGATATGGTTTTTGTGTCGGCTAATATATTCTTTTTGATGGCTGATATGTTTTCTATTTTTCCTTTTGTTGGCTAACGTCTCTAATGTTGACTGATATCAAACATCAATTGGCTTATATGTTATTTTTATTAGCTTATATGTTATTTTTATTGGCTAATAATGTGTTGACTTATATAATTAACAAGTGTTGTTGGCTGATATAATGTTGTCTTCTTCACAAAATGGCAATTTCTCTCTTCCCCATGCATTCCTTCTCTCTCTTCTAATCCTATGCACCCCCCCCCACCCACCACCAATACAACCACAACCATACTCTCTGAAATTTACAGCTTATACATTCACAAATGATAATTTTGATTATCACCACCATCACAACCCCCTGCCGCCGCTCCTTAACACCATCACAACAAAGTTCACTCACCTTCCTCCGCACTTGCTGCCACCACAGCCCACCACCACCAAGCGAACTCCCCTGTTCCCCAATTCACCAACACCAAATCGCATCACCAATATTTAAATCACACCAAATCACCACCAATCGCATCAAATCGCCGCCACCGCACCAAATCGCCACCACCGTTCCACCTTCAGCCAGCAATTGAGCCACCAATCGCCACCAAATCATATCAGCCAAAAATATGAGGGTTTTTGCGAGACTGGTTCGTGAAGGTGGTCGAATTTTTGAGAGTTTTCGTGGTTGAATATGTGGGTTTCTCGTGAGGGTGGTCGGATTTGTGGGCGTAAGAAATTCGTAGGGGTGGTGGCCTAGGTTTCGTGGAGGTGGATATTTCGTGGGGGTGTGGAGCTTCGGTGGGAGTTGCAGCCATGGTAGGAGGAGACCACGAGGAGAGAGAAGATTATGGGAGTTGTACTCACGGTAGGAGTTTGTGATAGGAGAAGGTATTAGGCTTCTTGTTGGGCCGCCGCACGAACTATTGGGTGCGGACATCCGCACCCAATAGTTTGTGATAAATAAATGATGTACAAAAAATACTCAACTTCATGAAAATCAATCAAACCATGTACCATTAACAACTTCTAACACACGTATAGAATGGAGAGGTATCTACGATAGGGATGCAAGTGGGTACAAAAATGCAGGTTCCACACATCAGCGGGGCGGGTATGTAGACGAGTATGGGTACAATAGTCATACCCACCATGGGTAGTGATTAGGTGGTGGAATTAAAGTAATACCCGCCTACCCAATCCCGCTTTACCCACCCAACTTAGCACTTACAACCATGGAAAAAAACCGTTGTCGCGTTCGCGGTAACGTACGCGTTGTCGCGGAAGCAGCTTGCAACGGTCAAATAGAACGGATCGCGAATTTTGCAGCGTGATTTTTTTCAAAAACTTCATATAAGTCATTTTTTGAGCTTTTAAAATCATTTTATTTATTTATACAATATTATTGCCAAAACTACTTTAAATACAACCCAATATATGAGATATGGCATTTATAAATTATTTTAACATTATTTGAGCTCTATTTTTGTTACACTCAAATAAAATAAGAGCTACTGTCAGCATAGTGTAGTACTCCAAACAGATTTTAATTAAAGAAAAAGCTAACCCTTCAAACCACAAATAAACTTAAAAATAAAAAATAAAAGAAAAGGAAAGAAAGAATTGAGAAGGCCACGTCTGATAACAAAAGTAAAAAGGTAGAAAAGAGAATACAAGCATGGAAGCCAGCCACGTCAGAACGGTAAGTCCCAAAACCGTTACAAAGCGGCCGTTATACAACGGAACGACCTCTTTTTAATTCAATGCTTACAACCATGACTTATTTTTTTACAACTACTTTACAATTATTGAGCTTAAATTTGGTAACCCATAGCTCCATAAGCCCAATTTAAAGTAGACAAAACCACAATATTCAAGTTCCTACCCACGTTGTGTCGTGTATTGATAGTTTAATATGGCCTGTAGTGTAGAGCTGTTACTTGAAAAACAATATCTAATGCTGCACTTTTAGTCGTTTTGTTTTTTTTATTTTTGACAGCTAATTGATGCATTGTTACACTATATTGACTTGTAATTTTTACCATAAAATTTTTGCCAAAATGAAATACCATTGACCACTTCAAATAATGTGTAAAATGAACTACTAATTATAAATGGCTACAAGTCATTAAGGCCTCGTTTGGTTTGATGTAAAATGTTTTTATGGAAAATGATTTTCCCATTTTCTTTTGTTTGGTTGGTAACGGCGTGAAAAATAATTTTCCCAATGGTGGAAAATTGCATCTATAATGGTGGAAAACATTTTCCTTTACAAAACAAGGGAAGCCTTATTTTCCTTCCTCTTTTACTTTCCTCTCATCCATACCCACATTTCCACTCCTATTTTTTATTTCTCTTTAACTTTTCTTGTAAGAACCAAACAAAGGAAAACTATCTTGCAAGTGTGGTTTTCCTTGAAAGTATATTTTCCATGAAAACTAATTTTTCATTGAAAATGTTTTACATCAAACCAAACGGGGCCTAAATAGAAAGTAGACAAACGGTAAACCATTGCAACACATGCAGCAATCCTAAGTAAACCAAAAACGAATTACATTTATCCAATAAGAAACTGCATAAAAAATACAAACTGCACATTGCACACGATTATTTAAATAAATAAATATTGCATAACAAACTAATGGTAGCATGAAGCCTATTCTAATTGACAACAACTCAATACAAGTAGTTATTAGTAATTCTCGAATAACAAAGTCTAGAATGCTACTCCACATTAGTTTTAGTGATTGCAAAACACAAAATCATATCTTACACACTTTAATGATTACAGATATTGAAGAAACAATTAGAACTATTAGAAAAAAAAAAATTAAAAAAAATTAAAAATAGAAGAACAATCACAGAAGTTCAACGGTCAAAATGTGTGTAGGTTAAGAGTACGTGCAATCTAATAAATATTAACGCTGTAATCAAACTAATAAATTTGACAAGTCCAGAAAACTTGAAAAAAAAAATTAGTATAATTAATTACCTCATAATCTTCAGGATTTCTAATAGGATCAACTATACAGCTCTGGAACTCCTGCCTTATCGTGCCAAGGCCTCCAACATCTTCCCACTTCACATTAGGAACAGGAGAGAAACCTTCCCTCTTTAAAGATGGTTGAACATTCTTACGTGCAACCTAAATCAATACACAGTCCAGGAGGAAAAAAACATCAACATACTTGGAAAAGCACCTATATCCATAAACTAATATATTTCATGACAATAAATGGCAAAAGTAGCAAATTTTACAATGGAACAAAACTTTTTTTACACTTGGGAAAACATTTACAGGAAAGTTCAAGCTGACATTGTATTACCTCAAAATCTGACATTTTGGGGCAGAGTGTTTCCATTTCTCCAGGCATAAAACGTAGTTGCTTCCACCAACCGTCATCTTGGGGCCCAACTGCACACTCCTTACCTTCATCCTTCTTAAAGTTTATCATCTTCCTCATAGCATGTACAGAAGCTTTCCTAACATAATCTTCCAGGTCAGCCCCAACAAACCCTGCTGTGTCCCTAGCCAACTTTCTAAGGTTCAAACCCTCTTGAACACCAAGATCACGTGTCAAGACTGAAAGTATCTCAAACCTTGCATTTTCATCTGGAACTCCTAGTTCAATCTCCCAGTTAAATCTTCCAGGTCGCCTTAATGCAGGGTCAATAGCATTTGGGCGGTTGGTTGCTCCAATAACAAGAACACGGCCTTGTTTGTTCTCAGAAACTGAAATCTCCGGAACTGCTGGAGATGAATGTACTTTACTCTCACTCACAGATTTCTTTTGACCAGCTACAGAAGCATTCTCACATATAGTATCCATGCATTTCAATAACTGAGTGACAATTCGCCCTTCTTGCCTTTTCTGCGAGCCCTCTCTTTTCTCCGCAATGGCATCAATCTCATCAATGAATATTATTGAAGGAGCAGTCCTACGAGCTTTTAAGAAAAGCTCACGGATGTTTCCTTCTGACTCACCTTCAATATGAAAACGCAAGGAGCCACAACATCAAGTACTGCTATAGTAGGCTCTTTAAAGGCCACAAAACATATCAAAAACATACGTAGTATAAGCTAGTTCTGACATGACATACCTGATACACCAGATACAATCTCAGTCGATGCAATCTGATACAGAGGAAGGCCGGCTTCATTAGCAATAGCTTGAGCCAACATGGTCTTGCCACACCCAGGAGGCCCATGCAGTAAAATTCCTGTTGGTGGCCCTGCACGTAATTGACACAGCCGATTGAGGACTTCAGGGTAACGAAGTGGGATAAGCACATCGGATATTAAATCCTCCAATACTTCACGCATGCCACCAAGATCCTTAAACATGGGATGCGTGTGCACCTGATCTCTACCGTCATCTAACTCCATATTTTTCCTTCCTATTCCTCCAGTCTTCTCAAGCATCACAATATTCTCCATCTCATCCTTTTCTAATAATTCTATATTTTTCTCATTTTTGGCCTCCGTACTCTCTTCTGTTTTATCAGGTTCAAATCCATCCTGACAATAGGCTTCCCTCAACATTGTTCTCATCAAGTCAAACTTCGGACTAGAATCCTCCGATGATAATGCTGAAGTCGATGTCGATTGTTGCACTTGAACATCTCTACCGCCACTACTATCATTCCGCGGGAAACGGGCCTCCCTAACAATTTTGGTGAGTATTACGTCTTTCTTCCTCCTGTACTCCGGATAAGTCTTACGTAAATATCTCACAGCATCCTCCTCACTCTCAAAACGGCTGCAATCCCCCAAGCGTTGTTGTAAAGTCCTAAAAGCGCTACGACCACCACGGGAATTCGATCCCTTTCTCATTGTGCTATCAATTCAAATTACCAAAACCCTACACCAAAGCAATCTGTCATTGAACAGATCATCCTGTAATGGCTTTTATACAATTTCATAAACAAAGTAATTTCATAGTACAAAATAAACAAAAAGCGCATTCCTTTCCAATTAAATTGAATTAATCAGGTATACATTCAGGCCCGTCCCTGAGCCAAGAGATCTTATTTCATATTCAATTATCTCGAAAAATACATAATTTTAGGGATATTTGATTCAATGGAAATTGATATGATGATAACAGCAAAAAATAACTTACCTTAGAAGTTGCTTCAATGGGGATACAAGAATTAGATTCAACGGAGAACGCTTCAATGGAGAACGTTGAGTGCGCTTCAATGAAATAACTGAGAGGAGAGAGGTAGGAATGGAGGCCTTGGAGCCCTATTAAAAGCCATGACCCGACACACTTTATAATATGGTTAGATCCGTCTAATAAATAAAATGGGGCGGGTCTTTATACGATCGTCTAATTATGGGACGAGACGGGCTTTATAAGGATTTTAAATAAATAAATTTATACCAATATTTTAAAACAAGAACTCTTGCAAGTCATACAAAATGACACGTGGCATCTCCCTAATATCCATTTGTAGATACATATTTTTACATTTTTTTTATTAATTTAAACGAAACTTTTTCATTTATGTCTTTTCATCATATAGTTAATTAGTTTTTCATTTCCTACTCTTTCGATGTTTATTTATTTCTTTATTTATTTATTTCAGGAAAACTCTTTCAATGTTTATTATGAATCTTAATAGCCTTCAATAATACTTATTGACAAAATGCTACATAGATTGGTATGTTGGTCAAGCAGAAACTTATCTTACTCAGCAAGGGTTGTCTTAATAAATTATGTTCTCATCAGCCTTCACTCTTACTGGGCTCAGTGTGTCTTGCTGCCAAAAACGGTTATTCAAAGAATTAACCAGCTCTGCAGGGCTTTTTTATGGTGTGGGTCTGCTATTTTGTCTAAAGCTCCTCCTATTGCTTGGGCTAATGTTTGTATGGAAAAGAAATTTGGTGGCCTGGGAATTAGGGACTGTGAAAGCTGGAACAAGGCAGCCCTAGGCAAATATATTTGGCAGATTGCTAAGAAAAAAGACTCTCTTTGGGTTAAATGGGTGCACAATGTCTATATTAAGGATCAAGATTGGTGGAGTTATAAACCAAAGAAAGCTGATGGGTGGGCTTGGAAAAAGATTTGTAATGTTAAGGAGGAGCTCTCACAGGGGTTCAGAGATAAATGGCAACAAGTATTCCATTGCTGCAGTTTATAAATGGATGCAGAACAGTGCTGAAAAGGTGGATTGGACGGATTGGATCTGGAACAGATATAACATCCCCAAAACTTCCTTTATAGTTTGGCTAGCTATGCTTAACAAACTCAAAACCAGAGATACTTTGATGAAACTGGGAATTAGTAACACTGATAGATGCCTTCTCTGTGATGCTGCAGTGGAGAGTCATAAACACCTGTTTTTTTATTGTCAGTATAGTAGAAGATGCCTGCTGTTAATAGGGAAATGGCTTGGAGTCAGAGAAGTCCATTTTGATATTCAGAAAACATGGAAGCACTGGAAGAGATGTTTCAAGGATCCAATTTTCAGAAAGATCAGTTTTGCTAGTCTTGCAGATTTAGTGTATAAGCTTTGGTCTGTTAGAAATACTGCTTTCTGGAATCATGCTATTCAGATTCCTGAGATCTTATGCCACAAGGTTTGCTCAGAAGTTGTAGATCGTTGCCACCAACTGATCAACCAGAATTGGAAAAGAAAGCACTGTTAATGGTTGAGGAAATTAAGGAATACTATGCCTTCTTGAGTCTGTTTTGTTTAGTGGCTTTTTTGTGTTCTGTCTTGAGCCTTCTTTGTTGTCCTATTCCTTTTGTTAAGTGCCCCTCCTAGAAGATGCCTTAACACTTGAGTTCAGGTTAGGTTTGTACTATTTTTTTCTCCCCTTTTCTGTTTTGATACTCTTCCTAGAAGGTGAGCTTTTCAGAAAAGAGGATGGGGTGGTGGAGTGCCCATTGGGGGCTGTGTAGTTTGGAGGTTGCAGTTCTACTTTGTGTATTTTTCTATAACTTTCTGTTCTGGTAATAAAATTACTTACTTACCAAAAAAAAAGAAAACTTCAGTTTCCAACTCTCATCCCAAATGATAGTCATTATAGCTTAGAAATTCTCTTCTTTCTCCCTTTTTTTTTTTTTTTTTTGACTTCAACCTATAAAATCTGATTCAACAGCGTTAACCCCATTATCAAAAATAAAACAACAATTTTCATTGGTGTCCTTTGGCTTCTCTCAATCTAACTATATAACGTTTCCATCTTTTACACTTGTATCTATACAAACGAAATGTATTTTGAAAGATTCGAAGTGCGGTACATATTCAAAGTTTATTGAAGAGATGCAGTCCAACTTTTCCCCAAGTATTCGAATTTAAGAAATTTTCCAATTTGGAAGTCTCTTCCTTTTCTTCTTTCCCTCTCCCTTCTTTTCCTCTTCCCTAATTCTGAAATTCCAAACCACAAAATACATTCTAATTTATACCTCCTTGCAGTGTCCTTGACGATTGCTTAATTTCGAAAATCAATTGCTACAAGTTTCTTATTCAATATCTTCGTCATAATAAAGGTTAGTTTTTTTAAAAAAACAATAATTTGTTATAATTATTTTTCAAATTGCAATTTAGATTCTAACTTAAATCAAATTTTGATTCTGACAAATTTGTTGATATTTATTCTGAGTCTTTAAAATGTATGGTGGAAAGATGTTATTGTATAAAAGATTGATTTCGTGCCGTTCTCTTAGCATATTAATTTTAATGGATGAATTTTGTTTTTGCTGTATTAATCATACTTCGGATGGAATTTTTTGGTACAAGAAATTGTATTTGACGCTAAAATGGATTCATTTTTTTCCCTACTATGCATGCAATTGTTGAAAGTTTTTGTGAACTTTTCAACAACTTTATATTGCATTTTGAAATTTGATTTTGTGAACTTTATATTAGTATTGATTTGCTTACTGTTGGGTTTTGTGGGTTAAAATTGCATTTTTTATGTCAGTCATCTCCTTTAATCAAGCCAATTTAAAAACTCTTGTAAATCAATATTTTGTAATTTAATGCTTGAAATAGGATGTATCAAATTGGTTATTAGAATTTTGATTTTTATTTAAATTTAAGTTTTGTTTGATTGAATTAAAATTCAATATTAATAAAAGTTTTTGACATTTAAATTTATAATTTTTTTTGATTTAAAGTGTTGTAACTTGTAAGTAGCCCTATGAAAATTAATTGATATTTCTAATTACTATCTCATTTGCATGATTGACGTAAGATTATTAACAATGTTTAAACACAGGCTAAACACTAACGGAGTATGTAGTATTATTTTTATGCACATAGCTCTTGACTAGACCCAAAGTTGTTAGGGGAGACATTTCCCCTGCCATCATAACCTTCCATCAGTTCGTGTTTGTGTTATGTGTTTGGAGCTTTGGAGAATTGGATGTTGAGAATGGGAGGGGGTCATTGCACACCATTTAACATGATATTGATTATTGATACCTTACATGCATTCTCATGTTGTTGGTTGACCAAAATGTAGCTTGATTTAGGCAGGTCTAATTCTTTCAGTATGCTAGCAGAACTTCTAACTCACCCCTTCCAAAGGATGTGTTGTATAGAGTATGTTGTTGGTTGATTAGTCTTCATGTAAAATGTTTAAAAATTTAGCATGATTGCTCTTTTAGTGAAAAGTGGGAGGTATTATGTATCTATAGGCTAATTAAAATTTAAGCATGGTTGCTCTTTTAGTGAAAATTGGGTGGTATCATGTATATTTAAGCTGATATGTTCTGATGCTTCCATTATGTTTGCTAAATACTAGTTTTATTTGTTGGCAGAGTTACTTTTTATTGCTCAATGCAATTTAGTGCCACGTGGCATCTCCCTAATATCCATTTGTAGTTACATATTTTTATATTTTTTTTATTAATTTAAATGAAACATTTTCATTTATGTCTTTTCATCATATAGCTAATTAGTTTTCTATTTCCTTGGATAAATGTACTTTTTCAATGTTTATTTTTTTTTTTTTTAGGAAAACTCTTTAAATGTTTATTATGAATCTTAATATCCTCCAATAATAGTTACTGAAAACTTCAGTTTCCAACTCTCATCCCAAATGATAGTCCTTATAACTTAGAAATTCTCTTCTTTCTCCCCATTTTTGCATGTCTAAAATTTATTTTCCTTCCTATTGTTCTAATTTGAATTATACAACCTTACACCGCAATTGAGTTGATTTCCTTTCTTCCTACGAAGTACTTCTCTAATTTGAATTATACAACCTTACACCGCAATTTAGTCAATTAATTTTGTAAGACAATTTGGCCAAATTTTGTATCGATCAGTTTCACACTTTCATCAAGTTTGTCATAAAAAGGTTTGTTTTCTCTATGTTTAACTCCCTCTTTTTTTTTCAATTTGCAATTTTACAATTTTAATCTCAATTATAAATATTGTGATAAATTAAATTATTTGTACGGAGTATAAACCCTTTGTGTGTTTTTTAATATTATTTTTGCTAAAATTTGAAATAAATAGGCAAAAACCAATTTTATTTGTTGGCAGAGTTACTTTTTTCGCTTAATGCAATTTGTATTACTTAATGTTACATATGATATGATGTATTTTTTTTTCCCCCGTTAAGAGTATATTGCATTACATTTATGTACGTAAAATTACATTTTAATTTACTAAAAAAGAGAGATTTGTATTTACAAATGTTTTTTATTATCTTTTTTTTATTTTTTTTAAAGTTTTTGATTAAAAAAAGTCTTAGTACATATATTTAAAAAAAAAAAAGATGATTTTGTGCATCGCACGGGCTAAATACTAGTTTGTTTTAGAAGTACTAGTTTTCCGTGATTCTTCCATTTCTCAGATATTATTTTCACGCACCAAAACGTGTATCAATTATTTGTAAGATTTTTAGATTTTACTTTATTTTTTTTAATTTTGAAATCAGCTGAAATTACATTAATTAAACCGAGTTTACAGCAAACGAAAGGAAAGTAAAGTAAACGTAAGTTACTATAGGCATAAGAAGCCCTTACACAATACCAACTAAGGTCGTTAACGAAATTTACCTTTAAACTATTACAACGAGTGATGACAACGCAAATAAGGCTTACCAACATACATTTAAACATGCGATGGGACTATTGACCGAACGAGGGAAGTTGGTGATGATGTTTCGTGTGTGCAAGGTATTTTCTAACATACAATTAAAAGTCTATGAATGTTGCTAAAATGACGGAGACGACCCAAAATTAGTATGTCTTATCCTAAGAGACCCCAATAATTCAAATGAATAAAATCCTCTTGAGATCTTTGTTTCATGCATGTCAATCACATTTCTTTGCGATTTGACAAAACCAAATCTTATGTATATTCTCATACATACAAGGTCATGATGTTGTTATGCTTTTTCCCGTCATCACATACAAATGGGTTTAACAACACCTACTACCATCCTCCTTCAACAAGGGTTTATGTAAACCTGAAATAGAAATTTTGCTTCATCTCCCAACAAACATAAGTAACACCCCTTACATTAAAGGAACACATTTTTATTAAAACTAAAGAGATTAAATTGAGCAATTCCAAGAGTAAAGCGATTCCATTTCATCCTCCAATTAACCCTGAATTCGACTTGTTTTCGCTTTTCGATCTATTATATTGGGTGCTTCCAAAATCTATGTTTTTTTTTTAGAAAAATTCACTTTAATTTATTAATCCGAACTTTCAACGATTTACTCTCAATAATCCCAACTTACGTTTGTTCAGAAGCACTATGAACTTTTGGGTGGATTTTCCTCCACTAGGTCGATTTACCAGTGACCTAAAGAAAGAGTGATTTTTATTTTGTAAAAGCCATGTGTCACAACATAATTGGTCCAAATTTTTTTTGGAAAAAAAAGAAAAATATAATTAAAAACCCTTTCCAGCCAGCCGTGTGTCGCAACATAATTGGTTAAAAAAAATGGTAGTTGTTATCAAATGTGGTCATTTAAATGGTAGTTGTTGGTAAAATTTTCTTAATTTTTCATAAAATTACCCTATATCGAAAGTATAATACTCCCTCCGTCCCTTTTTATTGGATAGGTTTTGACTTTTACTTGTTTATCAATACACCTATTTGACCATTAACAACTTTCATTACATACTTTTTTAAAATTAATAACAATTGAATAATAATAGAGCATTCGTTGAGACGAATGAAACAAGACCCCACATGACTTTATTATATCTTTTACTTTGTGAGTAAATTTGAAGAGTATCTAATACTCCATTTGTCCCAGAATACATGACACAATCAACATTGCACACATGCCAATGCACTAGTTTGACTTTATTTTTATATAATTAAATATTATTAATGAAAATGATTTTAAAAATTATATTTTGAAACTTTATATTAATACCTATTTAACAACATATTTTATGATAAAATATGTTTTTATTATGTTAGTAACAAATTATGATCAAAACTAATACATGAATAATGAAAAACGTCCAACGTCTCATGTATTCTAGGACGGAGGGAGTATTATGAATAGTGTTTAAAATCTGAACACAACCAATAAAAAGAAACGGAGGGAGTATTATTAATAGTGTTTAAAATCTGAACATAACCAATAAAAAGAAACAGAGGAAGTATTATGAATAGTGTTTAAAATCTGAACATAACCAATAAAAAGAAACGGAGGGGTACCC